AGCTTGGAGGCAGGCAAAGGTTACTTAAACAGAAACATCCGTCCTAGAAGAAAAAGTTAACAAACTGGGCTCCCTCAAAATTAATGGTTCCTGAAAAGATGCTATTAAAAAAGATATACGCTGTACAAACTTCTGACAAAGAACTTGTATCAAGTGTATAAAAGCATCATACAAATCAGTAAAACCAGCCAATCTAGAAAAATCCAAATGCCACGGACATACCAGGGCATCGCAAACAAAAACACAAGACCCCACCTCACTCTCACCAGAATGGCCCAGACCGAGCCCTCATGGGAAAACTGTCCCACGAGAGAGTGGATCCCCACCCCCACCCCTGGGGCCCGTGGGGGCTCAGGCAGGGTCAGGTGGCCCTACCTACCCAACTGGGGCAGCTGGATCCTGGCTGGCAGGATTCGGGGCAGAGGGCCTTTTCCTGTCACTCACCTCCTGGGGTCCTGCCCGCCGCCTGGCAGCATTCTGAGCGGGGTCCGCATGAGGGTGCTTGGGGGACCGCCTGTCCGCTCAGGGCCCGTGGCTTGTGCGGAAGGGGTCAATGCTCTACGTGGCCTATCGTCTGTTTGCCAAACCTCCTCAGCTCCAGGGTCCACAGAGGCGGGGCTTCCCGGCCCAGCCTGAGCCTCCCCGGGTCCCCGCCAGCCCTGCCTCTGTGCGGCCTCAGCCTCCGGTCCGGGGTCAGAGGGCGTGTCTGGCCTCTGGAGCGGAGCCCGGATGGGCCGGGGGGGGGGGGGGGCTTCTCCTGCCCTCAGGGCTCCCGAGAGCCCCCTACACACCCTCCCAGCTGGGACCCCACGTCTGCCAGGGAGGGGGTCGGGGGGCCCTGGCACCTCTCTGCAGACCCCAACTCTCCAGAGCAGATGGGGGCACAGATGATGGAGAGAGAGCACCGATTCAGTCCAGGAACTGCCCCGGGTCTGCCGACCGCCACCAGGGTTTCAGCTCTCTGGCTGGTGGGCGTGTCTTCGGAGGAAGGGACACCCACCGAAACCCCGCCGCCCGCCGCCCCGCAGTCCTCGTGGTGACCTCCCTCGGCGTCTGGCCATTCACATTTTTGTGAACCGACCGGGGTCTTGCGGGCTATGATCTGGTGGCGTTTCTCTCCCGGGATCACCGCCCGGCTGCCCGGGCCCCTGGGCTGCCCGGAGGGACAGGTGCGGCCCCTCTCCCGCCCTGTCATCCCCGGGGCCAGGCCGAGGCAGGTGGGACGCTGCAGTCCAGCCACCCGGCCTCGGGGCCGGACGGGGGGGCAGTGATTCAGAGCAGGTGTGCACAGGGCACCACGCACCGTCCTCGTGGACCCCGGGTTTGCCAGGCGGGGGCCCGGGAGGGTGCTTCCCAGCTCCTCGGGTTCCCAGCCCCCACAGTGGGTGTCCGGGCATGTGTCCTCGGAGGGGTGGGACCCCCGCCAGCCCCGGGGATGCTGCCCCCCCCACCCCCGCCGTTGCTTTTGTGGACATAACCTGGAGCCATGGCTGATTCTTTTGCAGTTTATATGAAGCCGGGCAATCTCTTCTGGCGAGGGCGGGCTGGGCGGCAGGGAGGGCGCCCGAGGGGCCACCGACAGGCTCGGGAGAGTGTGCCGCACAAGGCCTCCCTTCAGGTCTGCAAAGTTCTAGCCAAATTAGTTATGGTTGTTTTCTCAAGGGGAGGGGTCGCTTTAAGTTTTTAATTAAATAAGAAAAACTGTGATAAAATACACACAGCGTAAAAAGTACCTTCTTCGCTGCCTCTAAGCGCGCAGCTCAGGGGCACTGAGCACGTTCATGCCGTTGTGCGGCCGTCCCCACCCTCCGTCTCCAGAACTTTCCATCTCCCCAAACGGAAGCTCTGTCCCCGTGAAACATGGACCCCGGCCTCTCCCCCAGCCCCGGCGCCCACCGTCCGCTCTCCGTCTCCGGGAACCTGGAGACTCCAGGGGCCTCGTGTGAGGGGATCACACGTGAGCATCACGTCCCCGCGGGTCCATCCACGTGGTGGCAGGTGGCAGAGCCTCCGTCCTCGCCAGGGCCGAGCGACAGTCCAGGGAGCGGACGGACCACGTTTTGTTTATCCGTTTATCGGTCAACAGACGCTGGGGTCCCTTCCACCTTTTTGCTGTCGTCACTAACGCCGCCTCGAATGTGGGCGTGCAAATATCTCTTTGAGACCCTGCCTCCCATTCCTTTAGGGATGTCCCCAGAAGTGGTGCTTTAATTATTGCCAACAGGGTTTTATACTGAGAAGAACACCTTTTAAATTCACTGATAGCATTAGACAGACCCTCCCCACCACACCCCTGCCATGCTGAAGTGTTTCTCGTCCTGAGGTCAGAGGGCCTGACCTGTGTCCGTGTGCCCTGGGGACCCACAGCGAGAGACCCGCGGGTGACCCTCGCTGGCGAGCAAGTGGCCTGGGTCCCGGAGCCCGGGAGGGCAGACAGCACTGTGGATGAGGGTGCTTGGTAGGGCCACCGGCCCCACCAAGGGGCAGGGGAGGGTAGAGAGGACACACGTGTGCTCACCGTCAGGGACCGGCCCAGTACATAGTGTCTTCCTCCACTGTCACAGACCCTGGGGCTGTGGGGTCAGGGTGGGGCCCTCTGAGGAGGGGGTGGTGGGAGAGAATGGGGTGGGGCCTCACGGGGACCGGGGACCGGGGACCGAGGACCGGGTCTGGTCCATCTGCCAGACCTCAGACCTTGGGGGCCAACCTAGCTCTCGGGAGGAATTCTGTTTGCCCAGTGATTCAGATTAATAAATACGTGCACGATGGTTTCAAATCAGCACGGCCCCACCATAAAACCAAATTTACTCTCCGCTCCCTTTCTCTTGCGTGGGAGAGAACGCCCCTGACCCCCAGCCCATCCGGCAGCGAGGGGCTCAGCCCCTCGGGGCCGGGAGGCTGACCCCAGCAGCGGACATCGCCGGACGGCTCTCCCCGAGCCCCCACCACAAAGCAGGGAGGGACCGGGTCGTCTTTGTCCTTATCAAGGAAGCTCCCAGCCTGGAGAGGCCCAAACCTGCCCTTTCGGTCAACAGCGCCCAGAGATAATCCTTCCGCAGCTATCAGAGGTTCCCAGAGCCCCCGCCCACTTCCTCTTCCAGGCTGTGCGGGTCCTTGTTGAGAAATCGCTCCCTATCACCTGAGACCCGCGGTGACCGTCCGCAGCTGCCCATTTCTCAATCTGTGACGCCAGCAGCCACGGCACCTGCTTGCTGGGTGGGGGCTGGTGGGGCCACACCCTGGGCCCTGGGGACGTCCTGTGAGGCAGGCGGGCGGGCGGCAGGCGGGGACGCGGGACCCCCGTCCACCGGGGCCTGTGCTGTGATTTCCGGTACCGCCCGGAGAGGAAGGTGCTGCCGTGTAACCGCCACGGGACAAGATGTGACGTAGGAGGCGCCACAAACTCTACACTCATTCAATGTGCGAAAGGTCCACCAAGTGACACGGTGCAGAGTCAGCACCCGTTTTCGGGATTGAGGAAGCCGCTGCGAGGCCCTGACTCACCCGGAGGCTGGGGTGTGGGGTGTGGTGGGGTGGCAGACCCCCCACAGGGGCAGTGGGGGCACTTCTAGGGACCAAACGAAGCTCGGAGGGTGCTTTGCTGACTCGTGTCTCTGAGCGGCAGGTCCTGTGGTCACTGTTTTCCAGAGTAGAAACCTGAGGCCCAGAGAGGGTGACGCGCTGGTCCTGGGCCACACAGCCGGTGGGTGCTGGGACCAGGACACTCACTACCTTCTCCCAGAGTCCTGAGCGCCGGCCCGGGCCAGGTGCCTCCCTCCTGTGTCATCCTCAAAGTGGGATAGCCACGCTTCCTACCACTCAAGGGTGTGCGTTTTTGAAGGACTGAATTAAACAGTGAAGCCCCCAGGGAGCGTGCCGGCGTTCGGCACCCCGGCCGGTGCTGGCCCCCTACTCAGGGCCGCCAGGGATGGGGCCGGCAAAAGGCACGACCGACTGCTCTGAGATGGTCCGGGCCCGGCCTTTATCCTGGGGGCGGGGGAGGGGGGCCCGGCTTTGGGGGTGCCCTTTATCAGGCTCGGGTTGGGGGTGCTGGCAGTGGCCCGGGCCCAGGCTGTGCAGCCCCTGGGGACCCGAGGGCAGCAAAGGCTTCTGGGGCCACTGCCCTGGGCCAGGCCTGTCCCTGCATATGGCCCCTGCTTCCCACACACGGTGCCCCTCCTGCGTGTCCCTTCCCCGTGTGACCCCCTTCCTGCAAAGATTTTCATGGACCCTGTTTTCAGATGAGGAAACTGAGGCTCAGAGAGGCAGCGGCGGGTCCCAGCCTGGCCCTGCCCCCACACCACCCCTCACTGCGCATGAAGCCCCCTGAGGAGGAGCAGGAGGGCAGAGCCACTGTGGGCTGGGGGGACTCCCAACCCTTCACCCTTCCGCAGCCCCCATCGTAGTCCCGGCCTTGGCTCGGTGCAGAGACATCAAGGGAGCGATGTGGGGGGCAGGGCGGCCGCGGCACCTGGCGCTCAGAAGTGCAACCTCTTGCCTTGGCCCGCCTCCTCACGGCGAGGAAGGGCCTTGACTTTTGAGGCTGGATTTTCATAGGACAGGAAAGTGCATGGCAGCCGGGTCTGCCAGCTCAGGTCGGGCCCCCGGAGGAAGGCCAGGCCAGCCCGACTGTCACGGACGCCGGCGTGGGCGCTTACCGTGCATGCCCTGGACACCCACGGCAGCCCCGGGCAGCACCTTATGGGAGAGGTGCCTGGAGGGAGTCCAACCCTGGGGAGGGGACGTGCCGTGGCCTGGAGGCGTCTGGGTGGCCAGCGGTGCCCATTGCCTGTGCAGCTCAGTCCAGCCTCGTGCACACAGGGCATGTCCCCGAGGGCGAGGCCGGTGACTCAGATGAGACGGGGCTCGCGTGTGAACTCAGCTTGAGTCCAGGGCCAGCAGCGTGGACACTGGTTGACCTGTAACCTCCCTGCCTCTCTGGGGGTGTGAGACGGGCAGGCCCGTCCGTCCCTCACTCTCCCCTCGGCCTGGGGTCCCAGCCCCTACCCAGGGCACCAGATCCCACCGGTCACTCTCCTGACCACAAAAGCCACGCGCTCTTGGGAGCCAGCCCCGTCCACCCTGCCTGTCCCTGGACACCCGCCCCTGCCCTGTTCGGCCGCAGGTGACCGGGTATCCGGCTCCAAGGCCGAGCAGGGGAGTCCGGTGGGGGTCTGAGCGTCTGAAGCACCAGCCTGCGGGGGCCCCATTGGCTTCCCCACTGCCGTCAGGCTCCTACTCCTCCCATAGGAACCCTCGCTCAGTCACACACTTGCCCCTTCGTGTCCCCCGCGCCCCCACCCTCCAGCAATGTGCCACAGGCGCTGTCTCCCACAAGTACCGCCAGATGGGGCCATGGGCAGGGGACGACTCAGAGACAGAGGACCAGGTGACCGTAAGAGCTTGGGAGAGGCCCCCAGTGCAGGAAGGGGATGCTCAGACAGCCCAGCCCCTCCCCCTCTTTGCCCCATGTCCCCAGCAGGGACCTCTGGTCAGGCCCCCTTGCAGGCGGTGAGCTGTGGGTCCTGAGGAGGGGTGTGGCCCCCCGGGAGGGAGGGTTCAGCCCCAGGACCCAGCACCCCAAAAGGACCCGACGCTCAAACACCCATGGTCCGGGGCCGTGGGCTCATCACGCCATGATGCCTTCTCGGCTGGGCCCCCCAGCCCGGTGGGTGCAGACACGTCCACCTCTCAGGGCCACAAGGCCACATGTGACCCGAGCTGGCCTGGGGCTGCCCACTGCCCGCCTGGAGCCGGAAACCTCTGAAGCTCGGCCAGGGTCCCGGGGAGCGCCGAGCAGGGGGCAACGTCCTGTCTCTGGGGGTGCTGCCCCCCCGAGCCCCTCTGCAGAAGGGTGAGCCCCTGGCGGCCCCAGCAGCATGGGAGTCAGCGGCTTTCCAGCAGCAGCAGCAGCTCGGGGGCCTGGCTGCACAGAGGCGTGCCCGGGGAAGCGCCAGGGGTGTGGGGCACGTCGGGCGGGAGGATCCCTCCGGGCCGGGACCTGGGGAGCCCTCGGGAAACCAGGCTCCACCCGGCGGCCACGCCCATCTCTGCCCGTCTCCGGCTGCTGGCCAGCCCCGGGCGAGTGCCCACTGTTTACCTGGGTGAGGGGAACGGCAGGCCCGCCCCGCCCACCCACGTAGAGCCACGGGGACCGGAGCCAGCTCTGAGGCTACAAAAAGCTCCCGGCCACTAGGGCTCTGCCTCAGAGGCTGCCCCCGGGGACTTCTCCCCTCCCTCCTCAGGATGGGTGTCGGCCGCAGGAAGCTGGCCCCGCTCTGGGCCCTGGCTCTCACCCTGGCCTGGGCCCGGCACACAGGTGAGCCAGCACTCACCGGCTCTCCCAGGCTGGCCCTGGCCGTGGCCTGGCATCGCGGTGCTTCCCCCACAGGCCGGGAGGGCAGCAGGCCGCCCAGACGCCTTGACCGGGCCTCTGGGCGGGTGGAGTGTGGCCGTGAGTGGCCCCCGGCAGCCTGGCCCCCGGCCCCGGGCCCTGAGCCGTCTTGCGGGTGTCCCAGCTGGTGGGGTTGGGGAGGAACCCTCGGGGACTGCGGGGGTCCACGTTGGGGGTGGGGCCTCTGAGGCTGGGCTGCTCCCCCGAGGCGAGGAAGCAGGAACCCAGCGTCTCTGAGCCCCCGGCCTGCCTTCCCTGGCAGCGGCCTGCAGCCCACTCACTCCTCCACCCGTGTTGCCCTGCTGGTCACTGCCTCTGCCCCCCCAACCCCCAGGCCCCGGGCTGAGTGGGTTCTCAGGCCCCTGGGCCAGCCTGGCGGAGCGGCCCTCCTATCCCTGGGTCCCCCTCCCCATGCACCCCCAGTTTACCCGCTCGTTTTCCCCATCTGGGCCTTATGGGGGCTTTTCGGGAGCCTCAGCCTTGGGCCGAGGGTGTGATAGTGAGGTCCACACAGCGAGGATGCTGGCGGCGGGGTGGGGGAGGGACTCACAGACCCTCTGCGGCCCCCTCCCCCCAGGTCTGCACCTCACTGCCTCCACTTCCCAGGGGCCAGCTGGGTTCTGGCCGGGCGTGGGGTGGCAGTGTGCAGGAGGGGCCGGGGGCCCGTGTTCCCGAGGCACTCAGCACAGAGGGGACCATGCCACGGCGCCCCGTGTGGCCCATACACTCCAGTCCTTGGCTCTTGCCGCTGTGTGTGGGGCCCGTCCCTACCGGTGAGGGCAGCTGGCCCCTGCAGGGCCAGGCCCCTCCTGCCACGCTGGCGTGGCCTCTGAGGGCCTCAGAGATCGGCCTTCCAAGCCGCGCCAGGTTCTTGGGGCAGCCTCGGGGCCGACACGGCCAGCCCTCAGCTCTCCTGCCCTGTGCGCCCCTGTGCTGAGCCGCCCCCCGTGCAGTGGCCCTGAGCACCCCCTCTACGGTGCAGCCCCACCCCACTCAGCTCCACACTCCCCAGTCTGTTCCAAGTTGTCCTCCAGGCCACTGGCTTTACTGTTGGACCCTCCACGGGCCGCTGTGCAGAGTGGGGAGATACTCCGTGAATGCAGGGCTCCCGGGGACACTCTGTCAGGGCCAGGGGACCTCCCCCTTGAGGGCTTGGGGAGCCAGGCTGAGGGAATGCTCAGAGAGGATCGTGGCTCAGCCTGGACCTGGTGTGGACGGTGTGGACAGAGACCCTCCCAGCGTCCCCAGCCCTGCACAGAGAGAACCCCCACCTGTTCTGGCCCCTTCTGCCCGCCCATCCCCCTCTTCCTCCGTAGGCTCTGTGGAACATGGCCACGAGTACCTGGACCTCCTTCCTGTCACCCAGGGGCCCGCTGGTGAGTCGGCCCCCCACCTCCGTCAGGGCTGCCCCACTCGGGGCCAGGGGCCTGCTGAGCTCACGGCGACATCCTGCTGTCTCCCCGTAACCCCTGATATTTCATCCACGTATGCGTCCTCGTGGCCTGGGGGTGGGGGCTGGTGGGGTGGCCTCTCTGGGTATTTCTGTGCCGCCACTCTGGGTGTGTGGCCCCGAAGCCCAGACAATCTGCCTGCATTTGCCGGCACTGGGCCCACGGGAGGCTCATCCACGCCTGGCCTCTGCCCCCAAGGTTGACTTTTGAGATTCTGGGCGTAAGAAAGTCCCAGGTGTGAACAGAGTGCAGGGCTGAGAGCTTCCGGCCCCTCGGGATGGCGTGGCAGAGGCGCAGGGCGGAGGCTGTCGCTGGAGGAGGCTTTGCTGCCCGAGTGTACGTGCAGCCCGGCCCCCCGGGGCGCCTTGCGGCCACGGCCTTGGAGAGGCCACCTCCAGTCGCCTTGTGTGGGTGGCAGAGATGCCTACGCCCAGCAGAAGCCATGTGCGTGGGGGGCGCTGTGTCACCCTGCCCCTGCTCCCGCAGGCGACCGGCTGCGCGGCGTGACCATCCTCCCCCCTCTGAGGACAGCGCCGGTGGTTCGAGGTGAGGGAGGGCCTGTGAGGCCGGGCTGGGAGGGGGCAGCTGGGCGGGGTCCCGCTTCCCAGGTGGACCCGGGAGAAGTGCTGGGAAAGGGCCCCCGTCTCCAGGAGGGTCTGGGTCCAGGCGGCTCCTCCCCGGACGCCCGGCCCTCGGGCAGCAGTGTGCTGGACTTGGGGGCATGGGGGCGCCCCTCAGGACTGCCCTGGCTCCCCACAGCCCTGAACCCCGCGCACAACGGGCGGGTGTGCAGCACCTGGGGCGACTTCCACTATAAGACCTTCGACGGGGACGTCTTCCGCTTCCCGGGCCTGTGCAACTACGTCCTCTCCGCGCACTGCGGGGCCGCCTACGAGGACTTCAACGTCCAGGTCCGCCGCGGCCTGGAGTCCAATGTCACCACGCTGGCCAGAGTCACCATGAAGCTGGATGGCATGGTCATCGAGTTGACCAAGAGCTCCATCCAGGTCAACGGGCTCCCGTGAGTCTGGGGGGCTGTGAGGGGGACGTAGGGTTGTCCCCGAGACGGGGGGGCCCATGGCCCCTCCCCCACTGGGGCCCGCGCTCTTTTCCTGCCCCTGGAAGTGGTCCCCTCCTGGTCCTGTGACCCCAGGGCTGCAGACTTCCCTGTCTCCCCCACTCCCCCTGCTGCCACTGTCCACAGGCACTGTGCTCATGTCCCACGCGTGACCACAGGGGACCTCGCCGCCCCCTGCGTGCCCCTCGCCGCCTCAGCCGCGCCCTCTCTCCGCAGAATCCAGCTGCCTTTTAGCCAGTCTGGTGTCATCATCGAGCACAGCAGCAGCCACCTGAAGGTGGTGGCCAGGCTGGGCCTGGTCTTCATGTGGAGCCAGGACGACAGTCTCCTGGTGAGGCCGGGGCCCAGGGCTGGGGTGGGGGGGCGTCTCCAGCCCAACAGCCTTCCCAGGGAGGGAAGAAAGTGCTCCGGGCAAGGGTGGGTGGGGAGGTCGGAGAAGGTCCCCAACAGGGTGGGGGAGGAGGGAGCCAAGGTGCTATGGGGGCGCTGGGATCTACACCCCCGATGGAGACCCCGCGTGAGTGGGGTGTCTCCTCCAGGACAGAGAGCCCTGCTCTGCATTGTGGGGGCCGGGGGCTGGTCCACGGTCCCTGACAGCCCCTCCTTGGAAGTGTCCCACACCTTGTCTGTCCCTCCCGTCCCGAGACGTCCCTGGCAGGGCCAGTGGCTGACATGTCCCTCTCCTTCCAGCTGGAGCTGGACTCCAAGTACTCGAACCAGACCTGCGGGCTCTGTGGAGACTTTAACGGTGTGCCTATCTTCGACGAGTTCCTCTCCCACGGTGAGCCCCTCCCCACGGCTGTCCCACGTGTCTGCACTGGGCCCCTTCCCCGGGGCTCCCTGGAAGGCTGCCTTGTCTCCAACTTGTGTGCACGTGCACGCACACCCGCACCTGCACAATCCCAGCACCCACAGGCGCACCTGCCCGCACACTCAGCCGTGCGCCCGGAGGCACATCTGGGGGCCTGTGCTCGGCGCGGCTGCTCTGGGAAGTGGATGTGGAACCACGCACCCTCCTCACCTGAGACCAGAGTCCCACCTCCCATCAGGCCCCGTCACTGTTGCTCGGGCCTCCAGACTTCGCCGCCAAGAAGCGGGACCCGCACGAGCCGGGGTCCCGGCCCCCAGGTCCCCTTCGCCAGGCCCGTTAAACCCCACTTAAGGCTCACCCATAGATGCTTCTGGCCGTGAGGGAACGAGCCTGCCCATGCATCCGGTGGCCCTGGCCCGGCAGGCCCAGCGCAGGCTTGGCTGGGGGGGGGGGGGGCGGCCGGGGGGAGGTCGGGGTCACTCTCCAGCCCTCTGGACTACAGGCCAGCCCTGGGCTTGGAGAGCCTCAGTCAATAGGCCTCCGCCCTCGGCCTGCAAGCCCCAGAGCCTTGGTTGTTTCCCCAGTCTTCAGACACCCTGAATGTCCCTTGTGGCCACTGCCTAACCCAGCGGTGTGGGTGGGGGAGCAGGGGCAGCCAGGATGCCGCGGGCACCCTGGGGGACGGCTTGTGCTCCCCGCAGGTGTCAAGCTGACCCCCATCGAGTTCGGGAATCTGCAGAAGTTGCACGGGCCCACGGAGCAGTGTCAGGACCCTGCACCTGTGCCCCCGCTGACTTGCTCACTGGGCACCGTAAGTCCTGGAGGGAGTGGCGGCGGGGGCCGGGCTGTGGGGGGGTGGGCTGTGAGTCCAGAGGAGAGTCCGGGGCCTGGACTCAGCACGGCCTCCCGGCTCGGCCCCAGGGCATCTGTGAGGAGATCCTGAGCAGCTGGCCCTTCCGGGGCTGCAACGCCCTGGTGGACGCCAGCAGCTACGTGCAGGCCTGCCGGCAAGACCTCTGCCTGTGCGAGCACGCCGAGCTGACCAGCTGCGTCTGCCATACGGTCGCCGAGTACTCCCGCCAGTGCGCCCACGCCGGGGGGCGGCCCCTGGACTGGCGCGGCCCCGACCTGTGCCGTGAGTGCCCCGGCCGGCCCCAGCCCCGTCACCGTGCTGCCCTGCCTCGGTCCAGAGGCGGGGGCAGGGTGTGACCACCGCCACCCCCCGCCCCCGTCCTCTACCCTGCAGCCCAGACGTGCCCCCTCAACATGCAGTACCGCGAGTGCGGCTCGCCCTGTGCGGACACCTGCTCCAACCCGGAGCACTCCCAGCTCTGCGAGGACCACTGCATGGCCGGCTGCTTCTGCCCCGAGGGTGAGAGGGGCCCCCACCCCCGCCTGCCCCCCGAGAATCACAGAGGCGTTCTGGACCCCCGGATCTGAAGGGCCCCCGAAGGGCAGGGCAGCCTGGGGCGGAGGGCTGGTCTCCTCCACATGCTCACGCGGTGGCCGCAGCCTGGCACCTGCCATACTGGCCGCCTGCTTCTGCAGGGACGGTGCTCGACGACATCGGCCATACGGGCTGCATCCCTGCACCCCAGTGCGCCTGCGTGTACAACGGGGCCACCTATGCTCCGGGGGCTGTCTACTCCACAGACTGTGCCAACTGGTAGGACCCAGGCCCCTGCCCTCCTGTCCGTCACCCCAGACGCGTCCTGGGATGGCCCCTCGGAGGCCAGGGCCCAAGTGCTGGATGCCATCCCTCACGTGGGGCCCCGGGCACTGGCCAGTGGCTCTCCGCACGGGCGCTGAGGGGCCCCGGGCTGTGCAGTGATGCGGGCAGGCCTGGGCAAGACCCTTGTCCACCTGCCGGTGAGGAGGGAGGGTCTGGGTGCTCCCGGGGGCCGCGCTCACGTGGTCTCTACCCGCACCCAGCACCTGCTCCAGCGGCCGGTGGAGCTGCCAGGAGGTGCCATGTCCTGGCACCTGCTCAGTGCTGGGGGGCGCCCACTTCTCCACGTTCGATGAGAGGCAGTACACAGTGCACGGAGACTGCAGCTACGTGTTGGCCAAGGTACGGGCCTCGGGGTCCTCGCTGGGACACAGCGGCTGTCACACGGGAGCCCCTGCCTGGGCTGCGTGCAGCGGCTGCCTCTGAGGCCACCCTGGGAAAATGCCCCGGCTCCTGGTACCAGCCCCACAGGGAGCCAGGTGGGGGGGGGGGGGGGGGGGGGGGGGGTGGCGCAGGGGGCTGGGGTCTCTGGGCAGAGTGTGAGCACTCGTGTCTGCAGCCCTGTGACAGCAGCGCCTTCACTGTGCTGGCGGAGTTGCGCAGGTGCGGCCTGACGGACAGTGAGACTTGCCTGAAGAGCCTGACCTTGAGCCTGGACGGGGGGCACACGGTGAGGGCAGATCCGGGGGGCCTGGGGGGGGGCACACGGGGGAAGGCCGACCCGGGTGGATGCTGGTCGGGGGGCATAGTCAGAGCAGACGTGGGTTGGGGGGAATCTGTGTCTCTCGTGGCAAGTGACCTCTGCCCAAGCCCTCGATCCCCGTGTGGGCGGCGAGTGGCCAGGGGGCATGGCCCGGGGACCCTCCCACCCCACAGATCTCTGAGTGACGGTCCTCAGATGGAGCAGCTCAGGGAGGGACCAGGGCACGTCCGGTAGCTCGTGCATTGAAGGCAACGTCCGTATTTTATAAAGTCACTTGTGTTTTTACGTGACTGAGAAAATGCAGTCCTTGAAGGACACGCAGACAAACTGAGCACAGGGTCATCGGCCCCTCTTTGTGGGAGCCTGTGGCCTCCACGGGCAGGGGTCTCACAGGGGCACGTCAGGGCCTCTGGGGCCACTTGGGGCGCTGGCAGAGCCTCGACTTGCCCTGACCCTGCTGTGTACTGCTCCCAGGTCATCGTGGTCAAGGCCAGCGGGGAGGTGTTTGTGAACCAGATCTACACCCAGATGCCCGTCTCAGCAGGTGAGGGCGCCGGCCCTGGCCCCCTGAGGGTGCCGCTGCTCACACCCCGCTGAGACCTTGTCCCCTGTGTCCACAGCCAACGTCACGCTCTTCAGACCCTCAACCTTCTTCATCATCGCCCAGACCAACCTGGGTCTGCAGCTGGACATCCAGCTGGTACCCACCATGCAGGTGTTCCTGAGGCTGGCGCCCGAGCTCCGCGGGCTGACCTGCGGTAAGAGGGGCCGCCTGCCCTGGGGGCCGGAGCCCGCCCTCGGTGGCCGGGGCTCTCGGGGCCTCATGCTGCCCCCCTGCCCCAGGCCTGTGCGGGAACTTCAACCAGAACCAGGCCGATGACTTCCGGACCCTCAGCGGCGTGGTGGAGGGCACGGCCGCCGCCTTCGCCAACACCTGGAAGACCCAGGCCGCCTGCCCCAACGTCAAGAACAGCTTCGAAGACCCCTGCTCCCTCAGCGTGGAGAACGGTACGTGGATCCATGTGGCCCCAGGGCCCTCTGCGTGCTGGTGACACCCCCTCCCCCGCCGCCCCCGGCCACGGAGGTCCACTCCGGCCCCGAAGGAGCGATTCAGGTGGTTCACAGGCAAACTCCCCAGCGGCCGTGGTAACTTCCGGAAGCAAAGGAACAGGGTGTTGTGGGGGTGGTGGAGGCGGCCCTCGGCGTGCCTGTGGGCCACAGACGGGCGCTCGGAAGGAGCCAGGAGCCTGCCCGCTCCAGGCGCCGTCCTCTGTGGAAGGCGCTTCTGTGTGACCCCAGCTGACCTCCCCGCTCCTCCGTCCACAGAGAAGTACGCTCAGCATTGGTGCTCCCAACTGAAGGACCCCCACGGCCCCTTCGCCCAGTGCCACGCTGCCGTGAGCCCCGGCACTTACCACTCGGTAACGGCCTGCCCCTGGCCCGTCCCCTCTGGCCCGGGCTAGCCCGGCTCCGCTGGCTACGGAGATCAGGGGCCGTAGTCCTTCCAGCTCCCACCTGGAGGGGGTCTGCCGGGGGTGTGGGGGCCCCCGGCGCCAGCTCGAGGAGGGGCCCCAGAGGAGGCGGGGGGCAGCGTGGGGATGCTCGCTGAGTGTGGGTGACCACGGCCCCGTCCCCAGAACTGCATGTTCGACACGTGCAACTGTCAGAAGAGCGAGGACTGTCTGTGTGCGGCCCTGTCCTCCTACGTGCACGCCTGTGCCGCCAAGGGGGTGCTGCTCAGAGGCTGGAGGGACGGCGTGTGCAGTGAGTGTCCCCGAGGGTCCCCCGGTGCAGGAATACACACTCCGTGGCTCTCCCTGCGTGAGGCTCCCGTGCCGGCCGGGGACCCCGCGGCTGGAGCAGGCCTGGGGTGGGCAGGGCAGCGGGGGGTGGCCGGGGACCGGGTGGCGACCTCCGCCCTGCGCTGAGCGCCGCCCCCTTCCCGGCATCCTGCAGCGAAGCCCATGGCCACCTGCCCGAAGTCGCTGACCTACCAGTACCACATCAGCTCCTGCCAGCCCACCTGCCGGGCCCGGAGTCACGAGGACGTCACCTGCGGCATCCGCTTTGTCCCCGTGGACGGCTGTGCCTGCCCCCAAGGCACCTTCATGGACGAAGTGGGCAAGTGTGTGCCGGCCAGCAGCTGTCCCTGCTACCACGAGGGCTCCGTGGTCCCCAACGGGGAGTCGCTGCACGAGCGTGGGGCCATCTGGTGAGAGCCCCTGCTGGCTGGGCCTGGGGAGCAGGGTGGCTGAGGTGGGGGGGGTGCCCTCTGACCGCCCTCTCCTCCCAGCACTTGCACGCAAGGCTTGCTGAGCTGCATCGGAGGCCACACCCCTGCCCCAGGTGAGCCCTGAGAGCGGGAGGGAGGGGCTCTCGTTTCCACGCCAAGCTTCTGGGCGGACGCGCCCGGGTCCGCGTGGCTGGCGGGGGGCTGACACGTTTCTGCGTCAGGCCTGGTCTGTGCCCTCTGGGCTCGGGGAGGGGGTGGCGAGGGGGTGGGAGCAGGCCTCACTCTCGCGCCCACGCAGCACCCGGCCGGTCAGGCCTCGGGGCGGCACACCCCCGGCTGCTGGGAAACTCTCAGAGCCAGCCTGGCGGGTGGCGGCTGGGGGCCCCTCAACGGCCCCTGCCTCCCCAGTCTGCACCCCGCCCATGGTCTACGTCGACTGTCGCAATGCCACGCCGGGGGCCGCCGGGGCCGGCTGTCAGAAGAGCTGCCTCACCTTGGACATGGAGTGTGTGAGTGTTCCCCACGCCCCCAGGGACCCCTCGTGGGCACCCGCCGCGTGGCCCTCTCAGGCTGGGCCCAGGAAGACCCCTGCCCGAACGCTGTCCGGGCCCCCTGCAGGCCGTGGCGGGGGGGCCCTCTGCTGTCACCTCCGCCGTCACCCCCCGCCCCCTGACCTGTGTGTTGTGCCCCACAGTACAGCCCCCGGTGCGAGCCCGGCTGCGTGTGCCCCGACGGGCTGGTGGCCGACGGTGAAGGCGGCTGTGTCGCCGTGGAGGACTGTCCCTGCGTGCACGACGAGGCCAGCTACCTGCCCGGCCAGACTGTCCGGGTGGGCTGCAACACTTGGTAGGTGGGGCCCCGGGACTCCACCCCGGCCGGGCCGGCCCCGCTTCGGCCTGACTGTTCCCCCCCCCCCCCCCAGCACCTGTAAAAGCAGGATGTGGCAGTGCACACGTGAACCCTGCCTGGCCACCTGCACGGTGTATGGGGACGGCCACTACATCACCTTCGATGGGCGGAGCTACAGCTTCAGTGGCGACTGCGCGTACACACTGCTTCAGGTACACGGTCCCCGCCCCCCGCCCCCCGCCCCCCGTCCCCCGCCCCCTGCAAGCTGCCCAGGCCGTCCCAGCCCCCACCCCCCCACCCCAACTGCCGTGTCGGCCTCCACCTGTCCCCAGGACCACTGTGGTGGGAACAGCACTGCCAACGGGACCTTCCGAGTTGTCACGGAGAACGTCCCCTGCGGGACCACGGGCGTCACCTGCTCCAAGGACCTCAAGCTCTTCCTGGGAGTGAGTCGGGGGCCGGGTGGGAACGGGGACAGCCCCTCAGAGGCCCCGGGGAACTCTTGGAAGGTGAGCGGGGACGGGCCTGAGGGACCACGTCCCCCCTCCCCCCGCAGAGCTACGAGCTGAAGCTGAGTGGCGGCAAAGTGGAGGTGATCCAGAAGGGCGTGGGGCAGGAGGCCCCCTACTCCATCCGCCAGATGGGCATCTACCTGGTGGTGGACACCGAGGTCGGCCTGGTGCTGCTGTGGGACAGGAAGACCAGCATCTTCCTCAAACTCAGCCCCGAGTTCAAGGTGGGCCCCCCCCCCCAGGACGGCCCAGACCGAGGGCCGGCTGGGACGGCTGTGGGGTGGGGGACACACACAGACGGACAGAGGAGGGATTCAGCCTCGAGGGAGGCGGCAGGTAGGAAGGAGGTCCGCCTGTGTCCACTGCGCGCTGTGGCTCCTTCTCCCAGAGCGGAAGGTCCCTCCAGGCTGCGGTCCCAGGACGCGCCCCTGGACGCTCGGGGGGGGGGGATCCCCCCGGCCTCCTCCGGCTTCTGGGGCCCCAGGCGATGCTCCGACCTCTGCCTGCAACCTCACGTTGCTGTCTTTGCTCTGTGTGTCTGTGCCCAAATGTCCTAGTCCTACGAGGACACCAGGCCCTGTGTCCTCAGCCAGGATGCGTCCGTGCTAGCTGGACCTCCACCTGCGGAGGCCCTATTTCCACATGACGCCATGCTCACGGGTCCCCGGTGATCTGAGCCAGTCTTTGGGGGACCTCTTTCCCGTGGCCCCGAGCGCTAAGTGGGGCCGTGCCCGGAGGCACAGCGCTACCCTCCCCCCCCCCAAGGTGTCCTGGGGACATGCAGCCCCGGGGGGAAAGGAACGGGGGCACAGGAGGCAGGGACAGGGGCTCTGGCCCTTGCAGCCTGTGTCCTGAGCCCCCTTGTGTGCAGGGCCGGGTCTGCGGGCTGTGCGGGAACTTTGACGACAATGCCGTCAATGACTTCACCACGAGGAGCCAGTCCGTGGTGGGCCACGCCCTGGAGTTTGGCAACAGCTGGAAATTCTCCCCGTCCTGCGCCGACGCCCCGGCCCCCAGGGACGCCTGCGCCGCCAACCCGCACCGCAAGTCCTGGGCCCAGAAGCAGTGCAGTGTCCTCAACAGCGCCACCTTCGCCGCCTGCCACGCCCACGTATGTGGGTGCTCCCGGGGCGCCTGGGGAGGAAGGGACAGAAGTGGGGCTGGCATCGCCTTCCACCTTTTGGACCAGCCCGCGGTCAGCCCCGCGGGACCACGAATCTGCTGTCCCTGAGCGGCGGGGGAGACGGCCCAGGTCCGGCCACGCCCCGGGCCTGACCCCCAGCAGCCCCGGGGAATCCGGTCCTGAATCCGAAGCCTCTCTCCCCCGCCAGGTGGAGCCCGCCAAGTACTACGAGGCCTGCGTGGGCGACGCGTGTGCCTGTGACTCTGGGGGCGACTGTGAGTGTCTCTGCACGGCCGTGGCCGCCTACGCCCAGGCCTGCCACGACGTGGGCGTGTGCGTGTCCTGGCGGACCCCGGACATCTGCCGTGAGTTCACGGGATGTGTCGTCGGGGCAGGGTGGGCCCCCATTCCAGGGAGCGACACACTGCGCGGTTAAGGCTGGTCGCCCGCGGAGGGGGGCGGCGGGTGTCGGAAAGGAACGTGAAATGGGGAGGGGTGTCACCGATGGACAGATGGGAGAATGTTCCGGAACCCAGAGGGGTCAGTAGAGCCCTGCTCCCCCACCCTGCCCGCTTAGAACCTGGCCGGAGAGGAGTGTAGCGGGCAGCCGCTCTGGCCGGAGTCCCCCACCCTGGCAGGCGGCACCCCCGAGGAGCCGGGGGACCCGCGGCTGCGTCCCAGGTCACGGGCATTTGGGGCCTACGCCCCCCGAGGCCCCGTGCGGGAGGCACAGGGGAGGGACGGGGCTTGGTCGAAGGTCGGGGTGCAGGGGGAGCCCGGCCGGCCGCCGGGTGGCCCTGGAGGCCGTCGTTGCCAGGGCGGCGCCCCGCCTGGGGCCGCTGGTGGCTCGCTCTGGCCGGAGCCGGCCCGCTGAGTCGGCCCCCTCACCTGCAGCCTTGTTCTGCGACTACTACAACCGTGAAGGCCAGTGCGAGTGGCACTACCAGCCGTGCGGCGCGCCCTGCGTGAGGACCTGCCGGAACCCGAGCGGCCGCTGCCTGACCGACCTGCCGGGCCTGGAAGGTGCGCTGCTGCCCCGCTGGCCAGAGGGGCCGCCTGGGGTCCTGGGGTCACGGCGGGGTCTGTCCTGGGGCCCTGGGGCCCCAACCCCGGAGGTGCCGCTGTGGGTGCAGCCTCGAGCTGGGGACTGAGCCAAGGTGGTGGGGGTGGGGCGGTCGGGCAGGCGGTCGGCTGGGACTCAGGCCTCTCCGGGCCGCAGGCTGCTACCCCAAGTGCCCGCCAGAAACCCCCATCTTCGACGAGGACCGGATGCAGTGTGTGGCCACGTGCCCCACGCCCCCACCGCCACCGCCCTGCCGCGTCCAAGGCAAGTCATACCGGCCGGGGGAGATGGTGCCGTCTGACAGGAACTGCCAGTCCTGGTGAGTCCTTGACCAGAGGGGCAAGCAGCTGGAGCGTGTGGGGTTCGGCCCTCGCCCTGCGGGACGGACGGGGTGGGGGGGCGGGGGCCGCAGGCCCGAGGCGTTGAGGGGAGGGGAGAGGAGCGGGAGGGGGTGACGCCGAGTCACGAGGCCGCCCCAAGGCCGCCGGAGCAGATGCCCCGAACGGGAGGTGGCCGTCGGGCGGTCAGCGGGGAGCGACGCCGGCCCCCAGTGGTCACTGACTGGAAGGGGCTCCCCGAGAGGGTGCGACCTCGGCCTCCGTGCCCAGCGGCCGGGGCTGAGGGCCGGCTCCGGCACCACGGCGATGCCCTCGCCCCCAGACTCACCTTCTTCCTCCCGTCGCCAGCGTCTGCAGCGAGAGTGGGGTGCAGTGCGCCTACGACACCGAGGGTGAGCGGCCGGTGGCCTTCCTCGGGTCTGGGGTCTCCAGGTCCCTGCCCGCCCCCCCCGCCCCTCACGTGCCCGGCACCCCCTCCTCCTCACAGCCTGCGTCTGCACCTATGACGGGCGGCGCTTCCGCCCGGGGGACGTCATCTACCACACGACCGACGGCACGGGGGGCTGCATCTCCGCCCGCTGCTCGGCCAACGGCACCATCGACAGGAGGGTCTACCCCTGCAGCCCCACCACCCCCACGCCACCAACCACCTTCTCCTTCTCCACACCCCCGCTCGGTAAGGCGGGGCCACCCCTCGTGCCGGGAATCCAGGAGGGGACCGGGGGCCGGACACTCGTCATCTCTGCAGCCAGGAAGGGCCCTCTCGTCCAGCGTGCCGGGCGGGACCGGCGTCCTCACCTGTGCCGTCAGGGCCGGGGCCCCTGGCACGGGGTAGGGCTCTGACAGGGGACCTCAGGCAGGCCTTTGGAGGGAAGGGCCACCGGGAGCACCCCTGGGGAGTCCTTGCCCCATCATTGCCACCTGCCTGTCTTAGGCCACACCGAGGGTCAGGTAGCCCATCTCCTCTCCCTCTTAAGGGGGTCGTCCTTAGAGCCCTAGCGGACCTTCCCGAAAGAGTGCAAATTCTGCTCAGGGTGTAAACGAGATCGATTCACCTATTTATTGAACTGCTGTGGGCTCCACACATGCCCCGTGCCGGGTGTGTCCCGGGAACTCGGTCCCTGTGTTTCCCAAGCTCCCATCACAGGGGGGGACGGTCACGCAGACTGACACGGTGAGACGTGCGAGGCAGCTGACCGGCAGGGGGACGGGGACAAGGGGTGACAGGGTGCCTCGGGGAGCCTAAGAGACTTAGCCCTCCCGCCTTCTCTTCTGCCCTCAGTCGTGAGCTCAACACGTCCAGCCCACACGTGCCACAGCCCTGCCAAGAGCACGGTGCGGCCCAGCACTCGGAGTGGTGCCCCGTCCTCCACCCCGGGCACGACCTCCGGTCCTCCGACGAGCCCTCCCCGGCCCCGCCAGGCCTGTGGGGAAGATTGCCAGTGGTCACCGTGGCTGGACGTCAGTCACCCGGGACGGGGCATCGACAGCGGTGACTTCGACACACTGGAGAACCTCCGTGCCCACGGGCACCAGGTCTGCCCGGCGCCGAAGAGGGTGGAGTGTCGGGCTGAGGACGCCCCCGAGGTACCGATCCAGGTCCTGGGGCAGCACGTGGAGTGCAGCCCAGCGCGGGGGCTGACCTGTTACAACCGCAAGCAGGCTTCAGGGCTCTGCCACAACTACCAGATCAGGGTCCAGTGCTGCTTCCCCCGTACCTGCCCTACCTCTGGCGGTCAAACCCAGACCACCACACCTGTCCCAGGGACCACTACAACCACCCCGAGTACCCCTACACCTGTCCCAGGGACCACTACAACCACCCCGAGTACCCCTACTCCTGTCCCAGGGACCACTACAACCACCCCGAGTACCTCTACTCCTGTCCCAAGTACCCCTACACCTGTCCCAGGGACCACTACAACTGTGAAAAACACTCCGTTGACCCCGAGGCCAATGCCAGTTTCAACGACACCTGAACCTTGTTTACAAAAGTTGTGCAACTGGACCCAATGGTTCGACAGCAGCTACCCTGGTCCTGGCATAAACGGTGGAGATTTCGACACTTTTCATGACTTGAGAGCCAAAGGACATAAATTCTGTGAAAAGCCCAGCAACGTGGAGTGTAGGGCACAGTTCTTCCCAAACATCCCACTGGAGGAGCTGGGGCAGGACTTGATCTGTGACAAGAGCCTGGGGCTGTTATGCCTCAACAGGAACCAGTTGCCGCCGATCTGTTATAACTATGAAATCCGGATCGAGTGCTGTGAGCTGGTGGATGTGTGCAGAAGCACCACACACCCTGTGACGTCTGAGACCACGTATTCCACCCGAGAGGAACCCGGGACCCAGACACAGCTTACCTGGACCACCGGAATCCCCTCGTCTCCCACACGGCACAGCACCGCCAGCTCCGTGCACACGCACCCCACAACCAGCATCACAACCGGCACACACTCAGTCTCCCCAGCCGTGACCATCCCCTGCCAGCCACAGTGCACGTGGACCAAGTGGTTCGACGTGGACTTCCCGTCCCCTGGGCCCCACGGAGGAGACACGGAAACCTTCGGCAACATCGTCAGAAGGGGAGAGAAAATCTGTCGCCGGCCCGAGTACATCACGCGGCTGGAGTGCCGGGCCGAGAGCCACCCCGAGGTCAGCATCGAGACGCTGGGCCAGGTGGTAGAGTGCAACGTCAGCAAGGGCCTGGTGTGCCGGAACCGGGACCAGGGTGGCGACGTCAGGATGTGCCTCAACTACGAGGTCCGCGTGCTGTGCTGTGAGCCCCCGGAGTACTGCTCTACCCACAAAACTGTCGGAGTACCTCACACTTCAAGCGTTAGCACCACCAGGCTAACTGAAACCACCTCCCACCTGGTGACATCCAGCTCAACCTCCGTGCCGAAAACCAGCTCAACCTCGGTGACAGAAACCAGCCCAACCTCGGTGACAGAAACCAGTTCAACCTCGGTGACAGAAACCAGCTCAACCTCCGTAACAGAAACCAGGCCAACCTCGGTGAAAGAGACCAGCTCAACCTCGGTGACAGAGACCAGCCCAACCTCGGTGACAAAAACCAGGCCAACCTCGGTGACAGAAACCAGCTCAACCTCGGTGACAGAGACCAGCCCAACCTCGGTGACAAAAACCAGGCCAACCTCGGTGACAGAAACCAGCTCAACCTCAGTGACAGAAACCAGGCCAACCTCTGTGACAGAGACCAGCCCAACCTCGGTGACAGAGACCAGCTCAACCTCGGTGACAGAGACCAGCCCAACCTTGGTGACAGAGACCAGCCCAACCTCGGTGACAAAAACCAGGCCAACCTCGGTGACAGAAACCAGGCCAACCTCGGTGACAAAAACCAGGCCAACCTTGGTGACAGAAACCAGCTCAACCTCGGTGACAGAGACCAGCCCAACCTCGGTGACAGAAACCAGCTCAACCTCGGTGACAGAAACCAGCTCAACCTCGGTGACAGAAACCAGCCCAACCTCGGTGACAGAAACCAGGCCAACCTCGGTGACAGAGACCAGCTCAACCTCGGTGACAGAGACCAGTCCAACCTCGGTGACAGAGACCAGCTCGACCTCGGTGACGGAAACCAGCTCAACCTCAGTGACAGAAACCAGCTCAATCTCAGTGACAGAAACCAGGCCAACTTCGGTGACAGAAACCAGCCCAACCTCGGTGACAGAGACCAGCCCAACCTCGGTGACAGA